GACGGGTACCGACTGACGTACCTCGCGGAGGTCGTGGAGGCTTCGGCAACCGAGGTGACTTCAACGCACGTGGAGACCATGGCGGACGTGGTAACTTCAACAACCAACGGAATGACTTCAATGAGCGTGCAGACTTCGGTCGCAACGAGTTTGCTGGTAACGGTGGTCGCGGTGGTTTTGACAACAATGGCCCGGCCAAGTTCCGCAAGCAAGATCATCGTCCCGTCAACGACCCACGTCACATCTCGCCCCGACCTGAACAAGGTGTTGCCGTCCCGCCTGCTGTCCCTGGCTTCGGATTCCAGCTCCCAGGATTCTCATGACTCCCACAGGGGTAACTCGCTTCTCCCACATCGGATGCGCCGACCCCTTGACCTAAATTACTTTCCTGTACACAACAGTTTTTGATCGACTAGTCTCGACATGGCAGGTTTCCAATGCTGGTCTTTCCGGATTTCATCCTTTACATATACGTTATAGTCTTTCCTGAAATGGTGGTAAGGCACAATCGTGGTGGACAGTCTGCTTTATCTCGTCAAAAGCATTGCGAGGCGTTGTGGCTGCGAATGCGAGTCAGCCGATCCAGCACTGGCATGCGTCAGGCAACGACGGGTTTCCAAAGGTTTTCTAGTCTGGTTAGTCAAATGTACGATCACGGTGATTCTCCATTACGCTTCGGCGGCATATCTTTAGTACTCCTTAGCTGCACTACCTGATCTGGCCTCATAATGAAAACTAAGATTTTATGATTTTTTTGACCAAATACCATTTGAAGAATCAACGAACCAGATGAGTAGGGGAGACGTCGAGGCTCCGACGATAGCTGCACTCCGGCCAGATCGCTGTAGGTGATGAAGCAACAAAGGCGCACAGTGGATAACAGGGCGAACCTTCTATTATTTGTGGTAATACAACAATATCTCTTCGGAATGATTTTGTGGCTACAGCGCTGATGCGATACATCGGTCCAAGCCAAGAAACCGAGTCCTGGCAACGAACCGATCTATCGCATCAGCGCTGTACTCACAAAACCATCCCTTGTAAATAAATAGAACTTAACTATACAACACCACTAAGGTAACGAGTCCGTACAAGAGACCTACAGCCTCACTGTCAGGAATGAACCTACTTCCTCTTCGTGGCACCGCCCTTCTTCTGACTCCCCGTCGCCTGAGCCTCCGCCTTCTCCTTCTGCACCTTCTCCAACTTCTCCTGATCAGGCACCTTCAAGCTCTTATCGCCACCCGGATGAGCAGCCAGCGGCTTGTTAGCATCCTTCTCCTCGACCTCCTCCTCATCGCCACCCTGTCCAAACTCATTGACACGGTTGTAATCGACCTTGTACTTCCACGTCTGGAACAGGTAAACGAAGAAGATAACGTCGTCGCGAAGGGTGGCCAGACGATGCAGAGTGGGCATCTTGATGGTGAAAGCGAAGAGGTCGTCGATGAAGGTGTTGAGGAACTTGTATGTCATGGCGCGGCCGGGCATGTGGGCGACAGACTGGAGACGGTAGTTGATGTAGAGGGCGGGGACCATCATGAGGAAACCGTAGGCGTAGACGGATCCGACGAGCGTGGTGATGATGAAGGAGTACCATGACTTGTGGGTTTCGTACATGAGCGAGTAGATGGCGTAGGCGATGAGGAGAGGCACGGCGACCATGTAGAGGTACCTGAATGCGACGGCGTCGTATTCTTCTGTCTTCTTTTCCGTGTCGGACAGGACGTGCTTGTCTTCGAATGCGATGGTGTAGGGGAGCAGGGAGCCAGGCATTGTTTGGCGGATGCGCACGTTGACCGACTTGGTGATCTTCCATGCTTCGATTGCCATGCCCATGCCCTGACCGAAGAGGATCATGTAGGATGTATTCTCGTTGTTATCGATGAGGTAGAGGAAGATGATGGCTTGCATGAAAACGTTTGCGACGATGGTGCGGACTGATGTTCCAATATTGTCCTTCTTCTTGCGCCAATGCTGGACATCGTTCTTGAAAGCGAGCATCTCGAAGACCATGTGGAAGATGGAGACGACCGCGGTGATGGCGAGGAGGTATGAGTTGCTGTCGATAAGGATTTCCTTGAACATCTCCATCTCAGAGCCATCGCCACCTCCGGGCGTAGATTGACCTGCAGCTGCAGCCCTGGCGTTGGCGTTGAGGTTCTCGTCGACTGCGGCGAAGATGTTGTACTTCCAGTGGGCGAGGTTGTTGAGCTTCACGTTGAGCGGGAGGGTTGTAACGGTGTCGTTCAGCTCAATCATGTGTTTCTTAAGCTGCCAGAAGGTGTTGGTGAATACGATAGGATAGTACCAGGTGTTCTGACCACTTGCATCTCGTGCGCCGGTAGCCTCGAGTGTGATGAACCGCCTGGGACCGGGATGCATGGCGGCATATTGCAAAGTACCCGCGTCGGGAATCAGGGAGACGGTGAAGTTGGGATGGTAGTAGGAGGATACAATCTTTGGCGCGTTCTTCTCCTCTTCGCTTTCCACCTCGGCTCTTTCTGGCATATCGCTCAGCAAGTTCCTCGTCTTCGCGATCTTCTTCTTGGGCTGGTATTGGGACAATGGACGGATGAAGTGGTAGGCCTTGCTGTGGTCGTAGCCGGGCTGCGTGGGGTCGAGCACGCTGCCACTCTGCGCAACGTAGAAGTGAGCAAGCAGAGTAGCATTATGCTGCACTTCCCTTGGGACCTTGAACTCGGTATGGATTTCTCTGTTCTCCTTGTAGTCTCCAAACTTGAAGTTCTTCTCATCGATCAACAGCGAGTCCTTAGGCATTGACTTGAGCGGGGGCATTGCGACGGACGAGGAGATGTACATGGCGACGTCCATCTCAGTGCCAGCAGGCCACATGGGCGCGACAGCATAGGGGATATGGCTGTATTGAGCACCAGGATCGAGGGATTGTGGGCGCTGCTCCCATGCGGGAATGACAACGTTGCCGGCTGGTTTGACGGCGGCGACGGAGCCAGTTTGCGCGGGATCGTTGACGGCGGGGGCGGGTTTGGCAGTCTGGGGCATGAAGTACTTCATGCCACCCTGGATAAGCAGGAACAGGCCAACGCTCTGTACAATGGACTTGACGAGCTATCACGGAGCCGTTAGCTATCATCTCGGAGCGGAGGGGTCTTGTTTGCGACTTACACTCTTGCCCTCCTCGGGCGGCGCGGCGGCTGCTTGTGCCTCTGGCATGATGGCAACGTGCGGAACCTTAATTCCGGCTTGAGCAGCTTGTCAGGTGGAAAAGGAAGATGAACTCGCGATGAAGTCTGAACACATAACCTGGAGACTTTCCGAGGAATTGGCGGTTCCGCCGAGGGCCCGTGCCTGTCCCGCGTCAGGGTCTAGCCACATGGGCCTTGAGTTCCCGGCCCAGGTGGCGGTGACCTCATGCACCTCACCGAAATGCATACCCTTTGGAGCTTACCCTTCACCAAGGGATTGCAGCTATGGGTTGATGAGAATGCTGCGCAAAAGGTGCTGCCTAACATCATCTTGACGACCTTATAATGGGGCTACCGCTGCCTTAACCCCTCCTCCGTTGGAGAGGCTCCTCTCAAGCTTCTGTCGCCGCCCCTCCTCAACACGTCAATTGCATTTGACAGCCCGCGTTCCGACTCTAGTTCCCTCGTTCCGAGCATCTCTATTAACCATCCGAACAACCATGGCGGACAACAACGCAACAGCTAGCAATGGCTCTGCCAAGCAGCCCGTGGTTGCCGTATTGTATGTAGACAGGACGTCAACCGATTGATGGAGCGAATAGCTAACTGTGATACAGCTGCGGCGCTTCCAGTGGCACATCGCCAGTCCACATGGAGGCAGCGAGGCAACTTGCGCATGCTCTCCACAAGGCCAACACCAAGGTCGTATACGGCGGCGGCACTGTCGGCCTCATGGGCGAGGTAGCACGAACCCTCGTCTCGCTGTCGGGCCCCGACTCGGTCCACGGCATCATCCCCGGCGCCCTCACTCAACTCGAGCAGCACAACGACCCTGCCAACCCTAACGGCCACTCTATCGACGCAGACAAATATGGACGCACTACTGTCGTCAAGGACATGCATACGCGAAAGCAGATGATGGCTCAGGAAGTCGTCAAGGGTGGACCGGGCGGCGGCTTCGTTGCTCTACCTGGAGGCTACGGAACATTTGAGGAGCTGATGGAGATTACCACCTGGAACCAGCTAGGCATCCACGACATGCCTGTCATCGTGTACAACGTGGACGGCTATTGGAGTGGTCTCATTGAGTGGGTCAAGAATGCTGTGACCAGCGGTTTCGTTGCGCCTACCAACGCTGGCATCATCTCTGAGGCTCTTAGCGCCGACGAAGTGATAACACATCTGAAGGAGTATCAGAGTGCGCCTGGACGCTTCAACTTGACCTGGGAGGAGCAGTAAAGGGTATGTGGTTCAAGGTTGCGGAAAGGCTCGATAACTCCACTCTTCAAACCCCAAAAATGGTTCAAGGCACGTCGGTGCTAGATGGTTAGACAGAATCTCACAGGTGGACTCTGTATTAGTAAATGCATCCATGTAGATTAATTAGACTACACTACAAATCAAAAGGTCTGAGAATCGTTCCCGTAGTACGTACTGAGCAAGTGAGCGTATCCGAACACTCTGGCCGCATATGGTGATCTCACCCGACAATCCCTACAAGCTGACGACATGTTCTGCAAAAGCTTTGCCGGCCCGAGCAACTTATCTTCGGCAATAAACATCGCGGAGCGAGGCTGGTGAGATTACATGCTTTAAAGAGCATGGTACCGGTGCTGAACGGAATGCCTAAGCCCGTTGAGGCAGGAGCGAAACCATGTCCGACGCGCGAGCCCATCTCATTCGACAACCCCGCCAAAAGTCAAGATAGTGACCTCAACGCGCGTATAATGACAAGCTTTGACAAGCCTTTTCCAAGACTGCTTAAATACGCTAGGGTAAGTTGCTCTCACACTCTTCTCACTGCTCTTGCGCCATTTGTCTGCAGCTCTCAGCATGTTCACCAAGTCGGTAGTGACGCCTTTGTTGGCGCTTTCAAGCCTCGCCCTACAAGCTGCTGCTGTCTCTCAGAAGCAATGGACTAAGAGGAGCGACCACTTGTACTTGCCGAAAGAGACTAGCGACTACAAGACCGCGACTGCTCCGAACAATGTCACTATTCGGTACAAGAATCCTGGTATCTGCGAGACCACTCCAGGCGTGGACAGCTACTCTGGATATGTGGATTTGACACCTGATGTGCGTATCAATCTCACCCATACATACAAGCGCTTATTCTAATGCCACATAGGTCCATGTGTTCTTCTGGTTCTTCGAATCTCGTAATGATCCAGCATCGGACCCGTTCACCCTCTGGCTGAACGGAGGTCCTGGATCTGACTCGCTGATCGGCTTATTCGAGGAGAACGGACCTTGCATGATCGATGACAACCTTACAGCAGTATACAACCCATACAGCTGGAACAATGTCTCGAATATGCTGTACATCTCGCAGCCTGTCGGAACTGGTTTCAGCTACCAGAAGCAAGGTGTCGGAAGCTTCAACTCGTTCTCCGAAGACTTCCACTACAACTCTAGCGAATGGCCCGCTACTGGTCGATGGCCTCTGCTCGAGCCGCTGAACACTGGTACTATTGATACTACGGATCTCGCCGCAGTTGCTGTCTGGGTGAGCCAAAACCTGTTATCGAACTCCTTTGGCTAGTGCTAATCTCGTTCGATACATGTAGCACGTTTTCCAAGCCCTTCTGGCCACCATTCCCAAGTTTGATGCCAAGCTTGGAGACTTGGATGCTGCAAGAGACTTCAACCTATTCACCGAGTCGTACGGCGGTCACTATGGCCCAGCATTCTTCAGCTACTTCTACAACCAGAACCTGAAGATCGAGAACGGAAGCATGCCCGGATACCCACTCAACTTCAACTCGCTCGGCATAATCAACGGCATCATTGACGAGGCCATCCAAGCCGAGCATTACCCCGAGTTCGCTGTTAACAACACTTACGGCATCAAGGCGTATAACGACACCGTTTACTCGTACGCCAAGTTCGCGAACAACATGTACAACGGATGTCTCTACCAGATCGCCCTCTGCCGAGCTGCCGCCGAAGGCAACACCACCTACTACCACGCCGATGCAAAGATCACCGAAGCCGAGCTAACACCAGGCGAGATGCAGATCTGCAACGAAGCAGCAGACATGTGCCGTGACAACGTCGAATCTCCATACTACTATTATTCAGGCCGCGGCGTCTACGATATCCGTCACACGTACGAGGACCCGACACCCCCCTCTAACTACGGCGATTACTTGAACCTTGCAGAAATCCAGGATGCTCTCGGTGTTACACTCAACTACTCTGGTAGCAATGGCATATACTATGCTTTCCAAAACACGGGAGACTTCATCTACCCCAACTTCAGGCTCGATCTGGAGTACTTGCTGAGCCAGGATGTGCGTGTTAGTCTGGCGTATGGCGATGCTGACTACATCTGTAAGTTCTTCCTGCCCTATCAGGGTTTTGAGATTTCTGACATGTTCAGGCAACTGGTTTGGTGGTGAAGCTATCAGTCTGGCGATGGAGTACACTCACAGCGACGAGTTCCGTGCCGCAGGTTACGCGCCTATGATGGTTGATGGTACGGAATACGGCGAGGTACGCCAGTATGGCAACTTTAGCTTTGCGCGCGTCTACGAGGCCGGTCATGAGATCCCTTACTACCAGCGTAAGTATTTTTGCTACCTCTGCCCCAACCAGTCTGGGCAGATCACGAGCTTTGCTAACCTGACTTTTAGCTGTTGCCGCGTTGGCATACTTCAACCGTACTCTGTACCACTACGATATCGCGACTGGCGAGGAGAAGGTCACTGCCAACTTGACATCCTCTGGCCCTGCGAATGCAACGCACACGCAATCATTCGTGCCGATTACGTCGTCCATCATTCAGGCCTTCCCTTCGCCTATCTATCCTGCGACGACATCGGGGTACTAAGTCGTACTGTTGTCACCGAGGTCAATGTAGCCTTGGTTCCAGTGCGTTGGGCTTCATCAAAGTGGTGTGCATGACTATCACGAATGAAAAGAATTTATGAATTTACTCTGCGTAATATGCATGAAGACTAGTGATGCGTGCATGACTTATTCCTAGTACCAAATGATCTATCATCTCTTGCCCTTCCTCAGCTTAGCCCCTGCATCGAAGAGCAGACTTCACGAGAATCGCCCATCATGCTCATCACCGCTGCCTACAGATCTCAGCCTTGAACTCCTCATCATCTTTCCGCCATCCAATCCCAGCATCCTCACTACCAGGTCCCTTCCAGAAAATGCTACCATCAGCATCATCGCGGATAGCCTCGATGATCCTATCCTGGTGGTCATCCTGCATCGTCGCCAACAGCGCCAGCTGCACCAACGACAAGTGCTTTCGTACATCGTAATCCGGGTCGTTCTCGTCGGGCTTGAACGTGTTGAGATCGATGCCGAAGTCCCCTCGTAGAATGCTTTGGTATGTGCGTTCGATCATGGCGTCTGTCACGGGTGCGTTTTTGGGTGTATAGGTACCTAGAGCCTCCTTGGGGAACTTGTCGGTTTGACCTGGTGGGGTGATCTTTGCGATGTCGATGGTCGAGTTATGTGAGGTGTCGATGGGAGGAGGTCGCTTCATCTCCTTGGTGGCCTGAGCGATTGAGAGTGGAGATCTGTCGAGGTCAGGAATGGTTTTCATCACATCAAACGTGACCGATGGGATAGCTGATGAGGATTGGTCAGGAGCGGTTGGGGTTTCCTTCACATCAGACATGGTCGATGAAATAGCCGATGAGGATTGGTCAGCAGGAGTGGGATTTTCTTGCATATCAGACATGGTCGTGGGATGGATAGTGAGTTGTGGATTCTGACTGTAGTGAGCCATCGATGTGAGTTCATGTGCCTGCTGATATGTAGTAAAGAAGTTTGCTAAAAACACAGGACACGATACACGTTTGTGCAAACGACGCGTGGAACAATTTGTCGAGGCCTCGCAATATGTAGGCATCGACGCCGACTGTGGTTAGAGGCTTTTCGTAGCAAAACAAGTCACTGGGAATCGGAGCGGATAGACAAACAGAACTTCGATGTCAAGGTCGTCAAACAGCGTTTGCACCAGGATATGCCTGTACAGGCCTACGTACGCCAGATGTGAACGCCAAACTCCATGCTAAATATTGCAGATGCTTCGAAGGAACGTTTTCATTTCGACGTAGGGAGTGCGAACAGCTGGGGCTGCATGTTGATCTTGCACAAGCGCGCAATACAGCCAGACAATTGCAGAAGGGTTTGTACGCCTTCAAGGATGCGCATATGGGTAAAGCCAATTTCCTGATTGCTGTTAGCCTCTGTAAAAATCGCCCGTTGCGAACCCTCACCTTGATGAATTCCAGCTTTGCGTGCTCACTCAGCGTGTCAATCGTCTTTGTAACTTTGAACATTGTGCTGATGATGTCGTGACACGAGTATCCCAGATCCCACAGCTCTTTCAGTGATGTCAGAGCATCGTCGATACGCTGCTCATGGCACGCCTTGATCATGGCTTGCACCTTGATGGGGTGCGGGCTGTCGACCACCCTGAAGACATTGTCGCCATTGACGAAGCCGAAACCAGCAAATGTCGACTGCAGGTTGTTGATGGCTTGTCGCATATCTCCCTCTGCTGAGAACACTAGTGCCGCAATTCCGTCGTCTGAGTATTTCACGTCTTCGGCTTCGCAGATCTGCATGACGCGGCGCACGACTTGCGCATCGGTAAGGCGGGCGTATCGGAGGATGGCGCATCTCGATTGCAGCGGCTCGATGATCTTGTTTGACTGGTTGCAAGCGAATGCAAATCGGGTTGTTGCACTGTATATCTCCATCGTCCTCCTCAAAGCTTGTTGTGCACCGCTGGTCATGCTGTCCGCTTCATCGAGGATGACCAGCTTCTGCCTGCCCGCGGGAAGTGTGACTTTCTTCTGCGCAAATCCCTTTATCCTGTTGCGGACGACGTCTATACCACGTTCGTCCGAGGCGTTGAGTTCGAGGACAGCCTCTTTGTAGGCATCACCGAGGAGTTGGCGTGCGAGACAGAGGATGGACGTGGTTTTGCCGATACCAGGCATCCCGGAGATGATCATATGGGGCATGTTGCCATCTTTTGCGATGATCTTGAGGCGCTCAATGGTTTCGGTATTGCCGACGACATCATCGAGGTAGACGGGACGGTATTTCTCTACCCTAGGAGGATGTCAGTCTGAACCAGCTGGCGAAGGCCAGGAGCGGTGAATTACCATGGCAGCTCGTAGTTTGCACCGCCGGCCGCATTGGGGTTGGGTTTGACGCCATTGCTGGCAGCGGCTTTGGAGGACTCGGCTTTTGACATTTTGGGCTGTGGTGGTTGATTTGGAGGGGTGACGCGAAACACGCGATGCTCTGCAAACGCGCTTTCACGGGTCGTCCGTCTTGGGACTAGTGCTCACGTGAGCCGGGCACGATCGACGCGCAGCCGCGGCAGCGAAATATCATGCCCTTGGCGCTAAAGATAGATTCGTCCGACGCGACGTCACTTTCGTAGCACAATAGATCAGATCGGGATTTTTTCTCCAGATCACACACTGGCGTCGGTACAAATCGAGGCTATGTTCTTGCACATATTGTCCTGCACGCCTGTACAACGCATAGTACAAAATGATCCTCTCGAGGGATCTTCAGTTGGCATGCCAGATGGGCTTTCAGGTACCGACCGATGCTGCAGGTCCTGAGGTTTCAGCCCCAAACGTCTTTTTCGAGAGGCGCAGCCATCGAGCATCGGGCGCCTGAAGAAACCACCCGATCGCTCGTCAGTCGCTAACAGACGGGCTATTTGCATTGCTCTAGTAGCTTGCGACATGGCGACGGCGTCAAGACACTGGGATCCTGGTAGTTGACAGGGTGACGTATGCGGCTGACGGAAGCGGTCCGTAACCTACCACGTCCACGCATGACAGCGAGCTGTTGTGTAGAAGCAGCCCCAGACGTTTGCTGAGAAACTTGTGAATGCTGAATGTCGCTGGTAATGTTGGCCTTGTCGGCGCAGCCTTGGAGCGCGAACAAGGCGCAGGCGGCGCACGGCGGCAAGGGATGCCAGCATCGGCACCAAGCGCTTGGCTTTGCGATACAAACGAATCGTCTCGTAATCGAGGCAACGCCACGCCCTGCGGATCCCCCAGCAAGGCACACACAAGCCCCGTTGGCTGGCGATTTTAGGCCCGGAAATGGCGGCGGCTGCCCATGCTTGTTACGTGGGCAGGTGCACTAAAGGGCCACAGAATCCGTTACAGGTCCAGACTTGACCTCATCATACGCGTCGTCATCACAAGGCTCGAACGCCCCCTGCGCCGACTAAAGCCTCGCGCCTGCGCCTCTACTTCGCATCGACTGTATTCCTAGTCACAGCTCGTTTGTTTCTGCTTTGTCGCTATTATTCCCTTGTCATCCTCTACTCGCACTGTGCTTGGACAGCGCTCCGCTTTTTGCGACTTCAATTGCGATCTCAAACACAAGGCTATTGCCGCCCTCACCCAACTCCGACTACTCGTGCGTCAGGTTTTACCAAGCCACACCAGGGATCTTTTCACTTCCGTGGTATACATCGGACGCACATCCCTAGGATCCTCTTCTCAGAAACCACATCATGAAGTACTCGACGTTCTTGGCGGCGCAATTGGCGTCGTCGGCTGTAGCAGTGAGGCTTGCACCGCGAGAGGTAAGTGCGACTCTTGGCACCCCAGATTCACTGCGAAGCGAATCCTCCCGCAGCGCCTCGTGCGCATCACCAGAGCTTTGTCGAATGCGATGCTGACTTTTCCAGAACCCAAGAGTAGTGCGCCTGGATACCCAGCGCCGAAATGTCAATCCTGTCGCACACGACCAGCTACGAAGACGTCAAAATGTCGTCCAGCAAACACTTGACAACCTCGAGACACTCTACTTCGCCAACGCCAGCTTAGGCACCCCCGAACAGAACTTCCGCCTCCACATCGACACCGGCAGCAGCGATCTCTGGGTCAACTCAGTGAACTCGAATCTGTGTAGCCAAGGCGGCAACCAGTGCGGCGAATCGGGCACATACAACGCGAACGACTCTTCGACATACAACTACGTGAACGGCGCGTTCAACATCTCATATGTGGACGGGTCAGGCGCGTCAGGAGATTACGCGACAGACAACTTCCGCCTCGGCGGCCAGACAGTAGAAGACCTGCAGTTCGGTATCGGCTACGTATCGAGCTCACCGGAGGGTATCCTCGGAATTGGCTACACCATCAACGAAGTTGCCGTAGGACGCGCCGGATTAGAACCATACCCCAACTTGCCCCAAAAGCTAAAGGACGACGGTACTATCAACTCAAACGCATACTCGCTATGGCTGAACGACCTGGATGCGTCGACCGGAAGCATTCTCTTTGGAGGCGTAGACACCGACAAGTACTCGGGTGAACTACAGACACTACCAATTATCCCAGAGCGTGGACAATATGCCGAATTCATCATCGCTCTAACTGGTATGGGACAGAACGGCGAGAACGGTTCTATCTTCAACGATTCCAACGTACCGGTCCTGCTTGACTCAGGGTCCTCCTTGATGTATCTTCCCGATAATGTCGCCAGCGCTCTGTACCAGACCTTCGGCGCCCAGTACCGTCCTTCGCAGGGCGCAGCCACTGTCGACTGCGACCTTGCGAATCAGGAAGGCTCGCTTGAATTCAACTTCTCCGGTGTCACGATCTCTGTCCCACTCAACGAGCTTGTCATAGTTGCTGCCGTTAGTCGTGGACAGCCCGTCTGCATACTTGGCATTGGGCCCGCGGGCTCCTCTGTCGCCGTTCTCGGCGATACTTTCCTACGATCCGCATACGTTGTCTACGACCTTGAGAACAACGAAATTTCCCTTGCCCAGACAAATTTCAACGCCACCTCAGAAAACGTCCAGGAGATTAAAGAAGGCTCTGACGGCGTACCCAACGCTACAGGTGTTCCCAACGCAGTGTCTACTGCAGCTGTCGGCACTGGCGGACCCAGAATCGATGGTCCCAACATAACTGGTGGCGGTGGAATCCTGACCTCTACCGGCGCTGCCATGCCGGCCGCAACTGCAAACCCATGGGTTGGCGGTGCTGCGGTCGCTGGTGCGGGCATCTTCATGGGTTTCAACGGCTTCTGATGTGCGGACTACAATTTTCCTAATACCTGTCCAGCGTAATGAACTTTTTTACAATGCATACGTGCATCGTTGGCGTTATCAAGAGTGGCATGGATTACAACCTCTCGGTTAAGGGTTTTGCATATTCACCAACCTACCTGGAAGTAGGTCTGTTGCTTACATAGAAGCATAGCATTATCATGAATTTTTAACGTCTATTGCATCGCTCACAAAGTTACTTCTGGTTAGTGATAGTAAAAGCCAAAGTCGCGTTTGACTAGATGGTGACGACACCCGGGGCCTGACAGGACGCGTAGCGCCTGCCGCGTAATAGCTTCAACGCCTGGAATCACTAAGTCGCAAGTCGCGCATCATCACATGCATGAATAATTTTGACTTATCACGCCGCCATTCCGTATTTCCGCCAATAGCTGAAAATGTCTACGTACAACCGCCTTCATGCTGTAAGCTCCATACGCGTTCCCTTCGGCTTCAACTCTTGCCGAGACTACACTCCGAAGAGGTCGTCACTTTGACGCTCGTCCTCCGCCTACTCATTCGCATCATCTCACTGCTTAAGTTAGAAATCTCGCCACTCTTCAATGTTGAGATCGACGGTGGCCGACTTACCTGGTCCCTCAGGCACCTCCGTTTCCGAAATCCGATTTACTTGATGTGGATAATGTACCCGCTCGTTTTCAGCGGGAGGTTCGAAAGGCAACGGCTCTGATATGTCTGTATCCGGACGTCGCTGAAGCTCGATGCCGTCCCTCGGCGGCGCTTGCTCTGTTGCGGATGGGTCAGCGTTAGAGGCCTGTTGTGATGAAGTCGCCGCTGGAAGAAGCTGTGTCGCGCCGTCAGCGGGTTGTGTATGAGACGTACTTGCAACGTTGCTGTTTTGCTGTCTTTGTGACGTTCGTTCGGTCCACCGCTGTTGAAGGTAAGTGTAAAGCCGTACTACTGCGTTGCGTAGGGTGTTCCATAGCCCGGGGAAGAATTTTGGCCTGTAGTGGTGTAATGCCGCGATGGCAGCAATGAGGACGAGGAGGACTGAGGGGATGAATATCTCGTAGAACATCTTGTTGAGCATAGTTCCTTACTGTTAGAGCGGTATGAAATTTGTCTCGCCATAGAGAGTCTGTAAGAGAGTATTTATTATAGTGTGATTGATTGCTTGATGGAAACTCTTAAATGTTTGCTTCAACGAAAGGGTGTTCGGGAGACTACGACAACCTTTGAGGAGTATGTAAGATGAAAGAACGAGATGGACAATCATAAGAACGATAGATGGGTAAGGAGAAGGTTCCACAAATTTGATCATCTTCCGCGCCCCTCCTTAGACTGCATCATTCGTACCTTTACCACTGTACTTCTGCTGCTTGGCGTGTCGGAGCTGTACCACACTTTCATCGTCGTTTGTGCTGCCTCTCTTGTCTTTCTTGAGATACCTGCCAATGTATCCCCTCTCACCCCAAAGATGAAAAGGATCGACCAAGCCGTTCACTACTCCTCGCTTGTTCTTCTTCTTTTCTGCCCGAGCCGCCTCTAACTCCGCATCGCTCATATCCCAGAACTGTGTCTTCTTATCTCTCCCCTTGAACAGACCCCAAATATCAAAAGGGTCGAAGATGGTAATGATCCACGGTCTGTCATCACCCCAGCCTGGTCCTTTCCGTTCAGTCACGCCATCGCGAGCCAAGAACACCGAGTTGGAAGGAGGTAGACGTTTACCCGGATGCCACAGATTGAGTAAAGTGGTGTTGAGAAACATAATGACAGCTTCGAAGATCCAGAAGTAGATTTCGTTCTGATATATGGAGGACTCCCAACCGAGGATGTATTCCACGAGGCGATATATGCAGCGTATGGTAACGATAGTCGCACTCACGTACATGACGTACAGTACGACGCGTAGATCCTGCTTCAGTACGCCGGCTTTTTTGGCACGTCGATGAAATTGCGCAGCGAGAATACCAAATGCACCGAAGAGTGCTGCCTGGAGACAAAGCGATGCGGTGACGAGATCTGAGCCGAGTTGCCGTTCTGCATCGGTGGACCTTGAGTTGGCCATACGCCATGCACCTTGTCCGATGAGAATCTCGCATACGCCATCGAGGCCGATGAAGGTCGTTGCTACACGCCCTGGGTGTAGAGGTGCCAGGTAAGGAATGTAGTAAAGGAGTCGTGACAGTATGAAGTAGTTGATGAGCGCGTACACTGGCGGCCCGGACATGATGAGTACGGTCGAAGCTATGAGATATGCTAGATTGTCAGTGTCGTAAGCGCCTGCGAGACGCACTGCGAAGCCGCTGATCATCAGAAGAGCGGCCCACGGCAGGAGGACTGTTGTCCGCCATGACTTGTGCTTGCTGAGAGATATCAGTAGTGCAAAACTGCGACTATCAAGGTGTTTACATTGTCTGCCACGCATGTAGCGCTCCGGAGATGGAGAAGAGGATAATGAAGAGTACGGGCGCGGCTTTGTTTGGTGCATAGTACCAGATGCTGCCAGGCGAGTAATCCCCCATTCCCATCTTGAGAACGACGAATACGATGTCACAGCGATAAACTAACTGATGACTGGATTCGTGTAATTGATGAGACAAACTGTCCGAAAGTCAGAGGCAAAAAGCCGTTATTGCAGAGTAAGGGACAAGAACAATATGCGCCCAGATAGAGTCGCTAGCATACTGGCCCTTCTATACCTAGGACGCGAGATTAAATATATGGAGTGAAGCTCACGACAACACGTTCAAATAGCGCAGATGTCAGACCCCTCATAAGAAGGCCAATGCGATGAATGCGACGGCTGCACAGCGGAGCTCAGCTGAGGCGACTCTGCAAGGCATAGCACAGGGCTGAATAGGCGCATCTTCCCATCGGTAACAGGGTGAAGCGAGAGTGTACGGTTGTTGACCGGTGATGGGCAGAGGGTGGAAGGCTTGTGCAGCGACTGGTTGATGGAAAGACACACGTGATGTGGCGGAGACCTTTGATGAGTCCTTACCGAATTTGGATTAGTCCAGGCTAGCGGTGAAGCCGCCGAATGCGCAACGTACATCTTGCGACGGCATCATTACCCGCGCACTCAAGCAAACGACGTCTATCACATAATTCGCCGTTATACCGATAATCCCATCGTGCACGTTTCATGAGTGTGGCTGGAAATGGTGCGCCAGCCCTGGGTGCCACAGAGGATGGTTCTAGGCAAACTCCAGCCGAACCTACGGTGATGGACGGGCTCTCGAGCTCTAAAGTGACGGGTATGCACCCCTGCAACTTCAACACCCCTATACTCATACTTCACAGTCGAGTACCATGACCCTTCAGGAGTCTTTTCATTGATACAAGAAGACTTGGCTGCGCGATTGCCCCTTCGTAACTTGCACTGGAAGGCTCCTACACGGCCACTACGGTCTATCGACTCCTTACATGTTGATCTCGTACCAAGTAAAGAATCAGCACAGGCTGCAAGTGCGGCTTCGTCGACTTCAGCATCTGGCCAAGGTACGCCCAATAGGAACACGGATGAGATCTTCAGGCCGGTTAACAAAGAGAAAGAGAGACGACATCAGATCCCAGGACTGCGTCAAACACCTTATCTGAAGGTCTATCTGTTGAGATGCGACGATTCAGAGACTTACAAGGCGACTGCGCGCAAGCAAGTTCGCGAGTGGGTGAAGGAACACACCCCACCTTCTCAAAGCAGTACGGCGAACACGCAGGAGAATCATGATGCATACGAATGGTTGATTCTACATGTTGTGGTGCCTGAGACGCCGGCAGCAAGCCAGCCTCGTGGATCGTCCAGTACCACAACCGGTGAGAAGGAGAAGTCCGGAGCAGCTTCAAGATGGACGCGCGGGACGACGACCTTGCTGGAAAAGCTTCGCGCCGACTTCAATGTCTCGTCAAAATCGGCACCCGATCGGGTAGCTCAGATACGGGTGCCAAAAGAGAGAGTTACACAGCACATGCTTCCAGCTGCTGCACCTGCCGCCACCCCTGCTATTACTGAGAGCCCCCAGGAACAAGAGCGTGCTTGGGCTGATGTCATCGCTAAGTTCAAGGTATTGATCCTTCTTTCGTTTGACCTCCGGGTGAGCCAGTATGAAGAAGACATTCGCAAGAACGACGCGCAGCGCTCGTTTCCTGGTTGGAACTTCAATACATTCTTCATCTTGAAGGAAGGGTTGGCAAGAGGCTTCGAAAGCGTAGGTCTGGTTGAAGATGCGCTACTTGGCTATGATGAGCTTTCCATCGGTCTGGACAGCGTCATACGTGATCAGTCGAGCGAAGACGCGCAAGGAAGCGTTTTGCTCAGCTATTCAGACGACATATATCAGACAGCAGCAGAGATCGCACAGCAGGATGGTACTGATGGATCAGGACCATCCATACACGATGATAGGCCGATCAACGCTTTGAAGAAAGACTATCGCGGTCTCATCCTTGCAAACAACATTTCGATCTTCGACTTCAGGCTCTACATCTTCGCTCGCCAGATGTTCTTGCTCTTGAGGCTTGGAAACTCAGTCTCAGCACGTTCCGACCTTGCAGCCAAGCTACAACCTCGACCGAATGCCGGCGTGATACAGCGCTCGGCTGATGACAGCGCTATCGGTATGAAGTCGGGCGGACAAGGGAACGACTCAGAGGATCTGTTCTCTCTCGCTGAACTCTGCTCGCGTGCACTGAACTTCATCACCTTTGCTGGGCGGCTCTTGCGAGATGATCTAATTCACGGGTAAGTCCATCTACACCCAGTCAAACCACAGCACTAATCCATCGCTGTAGGGCGAAAGCTCACGATACCACATTCCCTGATCATCTCGTCGAGAACATCGTTCGTTCGTGGACTTTCGCTGCGCTGGAACAGGTCTTGCGTGAAACATCTACAGGATCTCTTCCATTTACGAAGTCCTCTGGAAACCTATCGGCAGGCTCTTCCGGCAAGAGCCTTTCGTTTGGTGGCCGCAACAAAGAACAAAAGATGAAGGTCTCAGAACAGAAGTCTATGATCCATCCATCCAGATCAACATCTTTAAATCATGGGCGACCAGTATCAGACATGCCATACTCACAACCTGCAGCCAATGCACAAGTCGTATTTGAGAACGGCCAGTATCACGATCGGCCACTACCTGGCCAACAGAGCACAATCCCTTCTGCCAAGAATGGATTGCAGGAGCTGGCTGGTACCAGAGCGCAGCTGCTCGCAATTCAGCGACGTTTGCTCGAACATGCAGGCAAGAGCATGGGTTGGAATATTGGCTGGAATGCTATATTGGCATCTCTGAGTGCTAGAGAAGAGCTCACTGAGGTTGATCTAGAAGACGAGGAAGAGGAAGAGGATGAATCGAAGCAGAACCAATCTCGTACCGAAACGGAAGGGGAAGCTTCGAAGTCACGTCTCGGTATATCTGCCGCAGCGCTGGTCACTGCGATGACATCCATCAAGCAATTCCGACAATTCTATGAGGTCAGAAGATGTGATATAATCCCGCATGAAGTTGCTAACTTTTACAGGTTTTGAGTGATCTTATCGTCAAGCACTATATGGCCGCAGGCCAGACCAAGTCAGCAGAAAGCGTGCTCGGGGATCTGGCTGCCCTCAGGTTGTATGTTTGCCACTTCTCAGATTATATCAGGCCAAATACTGATATCACTATAGTGAACTCGGTGACTTCGCAGCAGCCGCCATGTACTTTGGACGTATGGCATCGTACTTTGCGGAGAGCAGATGGAACACGGTCGAGACAACCATGCTCAAGATGCACGCACGCTGCCTCAAGAAACTCAACCGAAAAGATGAATATGTGCGGACGGTACTTGATCTCTTAGCCAAGTCTGCGGCGAGTCGAATGGCGTTCAAGAGTGCCTCGAAACGAGCCAGCATAAACGACGCAGGTGACATGCCTGGTGTCTGGCTGAACGACGACAAAGTGGACACTACTGATGTATTCCATGAACTCATCAGCTATTCGCAACAGCTACCCTATGATGTCACGGTCCAGATGCCGAAGTACTTTGGCGACATCTCGGTAGAGCCGTACGTTCGCCACTACGATGATAAGGATGGGTTCCAGCTGCGTCTTCAATTCAGACACCATCTTGAAGACGAGATCGAAATACGCGCAGCCAAGATCCGCTTGGTCAGCGCAGTTTCGAACCAGGCGAAAGATATATGGCTTGAGGAGACAGGAGCTATACAGTTGAAGAAGGGCTTGAATCGCATGTGGATCGGCTGCAACGTGAATACAATCGGACCGTACATGGTCGACAGGGTTGTCCTCGAAGCAAAGCGTATCGTCTTCGTACACGAACCTTTCCGAAAGGCTGAGGCGACAACTCCACTTGGCATCATCACTTCGGTCTCTGCGCATTCTCTCAAAGCCGCGAAGAAAGCTCGGATACTGTGCTTCCCCCGTAGCGAATCCTTCCAAGCCCGAATCTATCTCTCGCACTTCATCCATATCGACAAGCCGCGGCATATAGAGGTCGAGTGCTCAGCTGGCTGGAATGAGATTACGCGTGCAGAAGTCCGGCTAAAGTCTGCCTCTGCAGGTTTACGACTGCGAACCGCAAATGCAAGCGTGGCTTCCGGAGAGATCAAGATCGATGAGAGTAAGCCAACGCCGGGAGTCATCGCTATTGGTGCCATGCCAGCCGAAACTACAGCGACGTTGAAGGTGCCTTACGATATGGAGACAATATTGCAAGACCTTACTGTCAAGATCGACGTCGACTATTTCACCGCCAAGGGACAGTTCCAGTATACCTCGACCTTCGTTATTCCTGTTGAACTGCCTCTAGACGTCAACGTTCACGACCACTTCAAGAGCAAATCACTGTTTTCGAAGTTCAACATCAAGACCGCCAATCATGTACCGCTGAAGCTTCTAGATGTCGCATTAGAAGGATCAGAAGAGTTCGACGTCCATGCGCCAAGGCGTCCGAAAGAGGCTGTCAATGTTTTCCCGAAGCAGCCTGTCGCAGTGACATACAAAGTCACCAAAAAAACGATGGACGCTGCCAAGAAGCGACAAAGTCGGATTTCCACCACTGGCAGTCTATCATTGGCTGTTGAGTACCGATGCTTGAACGAAGACGTCCTTGAACGAGTGCGGGTGATGTTTGCTGAGGCTGTGGAAGACAGTCCAGTTCATCGACTTGCTCGTTTGCTTACCGACCATTTCGCTAGTCAACTAGAGCAACACATTTTGCCATCGCAATACGAAAAGATCGCATTACTGCAGAGGCTCGATCTGGGTGCGTTCGAGGAGGTTGGCTGGGCAGACTGTTTGGAGAGCTTACCGCTTGTCGTCCGTGATGACACGCAGACCTGGCTGCAGAAGTGGCATGAAGTAGGTACTCGTCTTCTTCGAGTGGACTGCGTACACTAATGTCTTGACAGAAACACCGAATCATCCTGCTCATCGAAGACGATACTGTTGATACGACACAGCAACCGATCGCTCCGCTATCGCCAAACCCACCCCGCCGGATGGTCATCACAGTCTCAATCCCTCAGACTCACATCCTGCACACTGCATCCCTATCTCTGAACTCGCCTTCATCCTCTTCTCAATCCACAATCGCAACCGTCGGCCAGCCTATCATGACCATCCTTCGCATCTCGCATACCCGCCGCTGGGCCTCGCCATCCAGCCTTCTCTCCGCCGCCAACCTCACCGAAGTCAATGAGCCCATAGACTTCGTCTACACCATCGACGCGAATCCTGAAGTCTGGCTCGTCGCCGGTCAACGACGTGCGCATTTCACTGCCAAGGAGGACGAAGAACATGAATGGCCCATCATGCTCATTTCGCTCAAGTCGGGGAATACGCTGTTGCCGAATGTGGATATCCGCGCGAAGATCAAGCCAAAGGAGGAGGAGAAGGGGAAGTCAAGTACTACGGAGGCGGAGATCTTGAACTGCGAGATTGATTACTTGAGTTACGGGGAGAGTGTTGTGGTTGTGCCGGATGTGAGGAGTAGTACGGTGGGCGTTGGGGAGATGAGTGTAGGTAGTCCGAGGAGTGTGGTTTGGTTGGAGAGCAGTGGGCAGGCAGTGTAGAGATGATTAAAGTGCAGCCAAATATGTTGGAAGCCGACACGTGAAAGGACTATAGAATCTAGGAACTTATCTTGTTGACCTGTATTCTTGAGTTAACAAACATTGGTAGTTGGAGCGACCAAGAAAGATGTTTGAGCTCCTACATGCAGGCGCCATCGACTTAACGAATACGAGGCTTAGCGCTTGATACTGTTGCTTGAGCGTCAAGCAAGTTAATTGGTCCACGCGGGTTTGCAAGTTCCATATTCGCGCGGTGGAAGTCGGATACGCGGACGAGTCTGTACTTTTTTGACAGAACCTCGGTCCTGATTCAGAGATTTCGAAGTTGTACAAGTACGCGATGTGTTTGGATAAAGGTGTCGAAGCTTCGGATGCACTTCCTGTGGTTCACGTTGACAAACTTATCGCCCACGTAATAGATTTCAGCCTTCTCAGGAATACGTCATGCGGAGGCTGAGATGCTGCGAGTTAGAGCCCTGTATCAACTACATAATAGGCTGCGCTTTCAAGAAACACTGGGCCGAGGCGGCCGAGATGCTCAAGGTAGCAAGTAAGGCAAATCTGGGGGGCAGTGATGTGCTGGCAAAAGCAAATCACGAACCACGCTAGTCCTCGGCACAGTGCATGCTATCGCAGCAGCTACCCAGGTACACCAAGGAAAATGCGGAGTTACGCTTGCCACACCGCACGCAAGTACTCGAAAGCTTAAATACTGATCCTTTGATATCTTCCTTGTGTCTTGCTGGGCAGAGTCGTGGCAAATGCCCTCGATCCTTCTGCTCTTAGGAAGCGAAGGTCCAGGAACGGATATGCATGACAAAACAGGGAACCGGCGATCGTCTACCCGCGTCACCCCTATGCGCTTACATGGCTTATATTGGCAGGCCCAATGTGTGGTAGAGACTACGCGCGGAATAGAACGCGATGCATGGATATGCCAATAATTGCCATGGTGCCTTCTCGCGCGACATTTTTGGAAGATATACACAACCAGCGTCGATGTGAGTATCAACTAGGCATACTTTGTGCTTTGGCAAATCCTCGAAGATTCTGGAGGCACCCATAGGATACACACCACGCCATCAAGTAAAAAGCAGGCACGCCACCAAATGTTCGTCCACCGAATCAGATGGCCATACGGCCTCAGCCTGGTCGCCCAATCTGCTTGGACGGCATGAACAGGTTCAGCTCGTACAAGGCTGAAGTGTGTCCCCGCATCGACTACGCCCGCGGGCGTCATCCGTCATAAGGACCTGAGCCGCAGCCTGTATCGCCCGTGGTGCTCGTCCAGCCGCCGCCTACGGAAGACTGCTCGAGAGTGGCCAAAACAATGCAGTACGACCGCAGAAAAGTTAGAGGGCCTACCGAAGAGATTTTGAGGTATATTTGACTACATCTGGAACATACGCTCGTGGCACTCACCTCAAAAGGGCTCGGCGAGACTCTTCGCGTGAACCGACCAGTCGAGTCGACTCTTTCCCCTCTACAATCGCGGAAGATCAATGCGACGCCTGCGAGAAACAAGACGCTGATCTCGCTTATTGTAACATTTGTAACATCAATTATTGTCCAACCTGCTGGCCACTTCAGGCCACTCATCGAAGACAACGACTTGCACCAGGAAAGGCTAAGCATGAGAAAACCGAACTTGCGCTAGCTAGGAAGATTCGAAATGTGCTTCTACCAACGAACAACATCCAAACCTTAACGCAACTACACGAGGATGATGCGCAGACAGCTTGGTTCGGTAAATGTTTGCGCGTCTTTGTCTCGTACTCTGCTAAATGTCACTGCGTTAGGCATCGAGCGGCCACAAGGCGGAGAAGTCCCAATCTTTAAGGACTACGGTCGATACGATTACTTGCTCTCGACTACGGTAGAGGAATGGAAGGTGAAGGGCGCACAGAGTGGGAGAGATGGCAGAACCCCTAGCTTGGTGTCCTTTGTCGGACAATCAGGTGCTGGAAAGAGCTCCTTGATAAAACTGTTGATCGACCTGCGATTGACCGGTGACGATGCCTGGCCAACGCCAGTCGTAGGCGGTACGGGAGTGATCGAGCCTACCTCCGAGGACGTACATCTCTACGCTGATCCGGTCACAGCAATTACTGAGGCACCCATATTCTTTGCTGACTGCGAAGGGCTTTCTGGCGGTGAACGTGAACCGATAAGTGCCAAGTTCAGACGGCAGCTGAAACAAACGAACGGGGCAAACGCCAATTTACCACAGCCCATCTCTGAGCGCGAACTGGGTTGGGCAGACACAAACAGTCTGCGCAGCCGAGAGTTCGCAGTTACCAATCTATATCCGCGGCTGTTGTACACATTCTCCGATGTCATTGTATTTGTTCTCAAGAATCCACGGTGAGTAGCCAGTTTATTCGAGGTCAGAACTATGGCTGATTTCCCACAGTGTCATAGAAAGCGTATTAGAGCAGCTCGTTACTTGGGCTGCAGCAGCTCTCGAGATGTCTTCCAACCAACCTGTCCTACCACATGTCATTATCGCACTTAACGCATCTGACCTCGACATTGACGAGCTTCAATGGGATCCGGACATCGCTACTGCTTCTGTTCTTGGGTCTCTATCGCGCACAGTCTTCAAGAACGCGGTGTTCAAGAAGTACGCCCAGTTCTGGCGTGAACGACAGCGACAGATTGAGACTGTGGAGCAGCTAATCCAATCATACTACACCACAATCAGAGTGAGGTTATCGGCAATGGTGACAAACTATTTGCTAACATACTTAGGTGGTCCGTATACCTACGAGGGAGCGCCCTCCTTTAGTTCAGGCTCAGATCAGAAGCCTCCACGCCAACATCACCGTTGCCTGCGAGATGGCGAGAGACCGGAAGACCGAACTTCGAATGCTGCTCGACGCCGAGGAGCTTCAATCGTACCTACAATGCGCATTTGATCACTTCGCCGCTTCTCTTGACCGCCCTTTCGACTTCGTACAAGCCTCATTCTCGAACAGCCCTATTCCGCTAGACTTTGGTGGCAACATACTGAAATTGGCAATAAGAATCATGCATGTTTGGCGCAATAAGGCGGACGCCCAGCAGATATTCCAAGAGCTAAGCTATATGGTAGCTTCATGCATCATGTTGGATTGTGCACGCCAAAAAACACGAGGTAGGACTACGGACCTGGCACGCCTGACAGGGAGCTGACACACCATAGGTACTGCAACGGATATTTTCCCACTCTACTTGGTACATCTTGACGCAGCCTTGGAGAACTTTTGCGACGGTCATTGGCCTTGCGAGTACGTGCAGCTGGTCACAGATTTGCGTTGTGTTAATGTGAAGAGTGGCCACGGTTCGAAAGGCCATCAGACTGCGAACGGCAATATCATTGCAGTTGGAGAATACATGTCCCGCTGGAACTACGAAACACTTCACGAAGAGTTCATCAACAACTCCTACTACAGGCTTGAGGAGCTCCTGGAGCGCCTGAAACGAAACAAGGCGCCGGGCGATGACGAGATGCAGGTCGCTGCTGATATTCACCGAGACGACGTGATGACCTGGTTCTACAGTCACGTTGCTGGAGACGGCAAATCACAAGGATATGTCAGCCATTCGGTCTGCTTCTGCTGCCTTTCGGAGCCTCCTGAACATTCTTTGCCATGTGGTCACGTACTGTGCACTCCGTGTGTGAAAACTTATGGGTGGCACCACAGTAAGACGGAGGTTGACATGCAGAAATGTCCACTAGACATTCGTGCTGCCCGCGCGTATCAGCCATGGAGAATACATTTCAAGCCTGAGTCGGCGGGAGTCCGTATTCTAACATTAGACGGGTAAAGCATTTCCCTCGACCGAATCAACATAAGCTGACATAGCATAGCGGCGGCATCCGTGGTATTGTTGAGTTGGAGATCCTGCAAGGTATAGAGACTGCACTTGGAGGTCAATTACGCATTCAACATCTCATCGACCTCATTGTAGGAACGAGGTACATGGTTGCGATCTTTTGATTAGATGCTGCTGCTGACTGTGTCTTATAGTACCGGTGGACTTGTTGCTCTGGGTCTCGCAAGCCGTAATTGGACTGTGGAGACCTGCATCAACAAATTCAAAGAGCTCTGTGACAAAGCATTCACCCGTCGGTTCGGTAGTAATATGCCTCTCATCGGATGGTTCGTCGACAACATCAATCATTCAAAATATGAGACCACGCCATTGCAGGAAGCATTACAAAATGCTTTCACGGAAGACCAATACCTCTTCGGAGGTCAGCGTCTAGATCAAAACTGGACCTCTCCAGTCAAAGTCGCTGTCACGACCACTTCCTCATCGTCGTCACCAGTAGTCCTAGCCAACTATAATCGCCGCTGCGAAGGGAAGCGTAAGTGTTGATGGACGCATATTGTGACGTACGACTAACGTGGTGTCTAGTTTCGTATCAGTTCCAGCGACCTGAAAGCGTCAAGAACGAGTTGAAGACTTGGGAAGCGTAAGTCCTCGTGGCGTACCTAGAGTCATGAAACCTGACGGCATCAGTGCACGAGCAACGTCCGCAGCACCACGATACTTCCGACCCTATCTTCACGAATCGTCCAAGCAGATATACATGGATGGCGCACTTTACCACAATAATCCGATCCGTATAGCGGACACCGAGTGGAAGTTGATCTGGAGTAGGGGTCCAATCACGCATCCTGACCTTATGCTATCTCTTGGAACGGGGTTGGCTGCAGATCAAGACGAGAGATCATTGAAGAGCCCAATCTCAAAGCGAGGACTGATCCGCAACGGGAAGATGCTTCTAAAAATTGCCACGGATCATATCGCAGACGCACTAGACTGCGAGAAGGCCTGGGACGACTATGTCAGGCCTCTCATCCTTCAAGATTCCTCATCAAGGTTCGTACGGTACAACGTCGAGATTGACGGCGAACTGCCAAGTCTCGACGACGTCAAATCTCTTCAACCGCTCCAAGACAAGGTATCAAGAAAGGTCTCGCAAGACCCTCGCATCACGAATATAGCATTTCAACTCGTGGCTACTTGTTTCTACTTTGATGTTGAGCGCATACAGCAATTTGTACAGAATTCCGCGGTCGCCTCGGGTACGTGACATCACAAGTGGTACACTCTAGGTATCTAACGTAGAAACTACAGGTCGCTTATATTGCCGTTTCGCAGATGGCTCTCTCGAAATGCAAGAGTTGGGAAGGCTCATTCGCACTCAGTCTTATCGAGACAAGAATCCACTCTTCCTCGTGAGGGAGAAGGGCATGCATGGCAAAATTGAATCACGGGAGCTAAGTCCTGATATAGTTGGATCCATGATCAGTCAGGGCAAGTTTCCGATGCGCAAGATGAACATTCAGCTGCGCAACAAGCTCTCTGATGTGGAGATCTACTTCTTTCTAAACGATGCGCAACAGCATTCCATCAGTGGATTTCCTCGTTGTTTGTTCAGTGATGGAAACGACAAAGCCAGTAAGTCTTGATGTTTCTGATGACCATGTGAAATTTGTTGACAATCATAGAAACGCTACATCCTCAAGCTATCAACACACGCCGTTGGGCTGGAAGGTCGAATAGCAGAAACTACCAACGGACGCTGTGGATACCTCCATCTAAGTCGAAGATATCTCGGCGCGGATCGATCTCTCACTACTCCGATCCAAGCCACGTTATGGGATACGCTACACAGGAGCAGATGGAGAAGACCGCAGAGGCGCTGTCGCAAGGCAGCTACTCTAGTACCAACTTGGCGTACAAAAGCTCTTCAGCGACTATCACACCGGGCATCTGGGAGCTGGACTCCACCAGTAAATCCCCAAAATTTCCAGTGACTATCATCCCAGGAATTTGGGAAATGAGGGGAGAACCAAGACGTCTCCCCGAGCTAGATGGGGGTGATGCCCCTTTAGCATCTTCATCGTCAGCCCAGACTCGCGGTAGCTCCTCCAATGCGCGTCTGAACCAAAGCAATAATGCCTCTAATACATCTTTGAGTGTCGTCAGTGTAGTTGATCCGCTCTACGCAGATCCAAGGGACCAAGCTAGCCGAAGAACAGACTCTGTCGTCGACGCAACTGCTTCAGATGTCTCTGATCAACAAGCAATCCTTCCGGGCGATACTGAGTCCGAGACGGCTGTTGCCCGAAGAAACCAACTCGCTCACTCTTCGTCTGAAGTAGCTCCAACTGCACACAATCACATCACTACACATGATGAGGACTACGTGGCTTTTACATGCCCACGACGCGAGCCTCGTGACCTTATGGAAGAAGAGGTGTACCGAAAAAGGACAACGAGACTGGTCGTCCCAGTGCAGAAGACGCAACCTGAAGTTACGGCGGCCATATCTGCGTCCGTGGAACAGGACACTGCAGAAGCGACCTCAATTGTCGTGCCACCAACTCCTTCTCCGGAGATTGTACCCATTCAACGTGTACCCAGTCTGCCGCACACACTACCTCCACTGGATGCCTTCGAGACTGTAAGCTTCTCCATCAATATGCCCGGAAGTGCACCTACAGATAGTCCCGTCCCTCTTTCCAACGACCCAGACACAAACAACCAGTGGCGCTGGGACATCCAATTCTGATCATCCGGCCAGCTCCGGATAGCCACTTGGCACTTAAGGAGGTTCGATGACTGAAATTGTGGCTGAGAAGGATAGGGAACTGGAACCTATATAGTATGATTTGAGCTTGGTAGCGAGCTACTTGGCCTGCCTGACGCGATAACACCAGTACACAACCAGACGCGTAGCAGTCACCGTGTGAACTATAATTTGTAATGAAATCGATTCTTCGAGCTGTTGTATCATCTTGTGAAGGCACCCGTAGGTGCGCTTTTACCATAACTCCGTCGCTGAAGATGCAATGCAAGTGTTCCTTTCTTCATCATATACGGCATCCGACAAATGCTTCCAGCCCTTCTCTTCAGGTATCTGCCTCTAATCCTTAGGAAGCATGTCCTGCTCACTGCCGTCTCTGGGCACGTAGTTGATACCCGCGCTCTCTACCGCGCCAATCACGTCTTCCGGGAGGATACCCTCGACCTGGGTCGCGTAGACGCCCGGGACGTAGCCCTCCAGACGCTGATATCTGGCAACCCAGCTCCTTGATGTATCCGCGACAGTGATGAGGCCTTCGAAAACCTGTGATGTGCAGTCGTTGATCTGCTCGGGGTTGCCAGCGAGCTCGATGATCTCTTCGCAGTTGGGGCAGCCCTGGGTGAGGAACTGATTCTGGGTTCGGACAATGGAGCAGACCATGCAGGCGCGCATATTGCGCTGCTGGCCTGGCGGTATGTGCGCACCGCCCTGGATCATGTTCTGTGCCATCTCGGATTTCTCGACGTTGGGACGAGGATTCGCGGGCGGCTGCTGACCTGGCTGATGACGGGTTTTGGGTGTGACAGCGGAGCGCTCGGTACGACCGGGGAGATTGGCGTCTAGAGAAGAGTTGTCGCGACCTCGACCTGCAGCGCGCGGACGTGTAGGAGGATCCTGAGCGGGAAGATAGGGCTGCTGTAGAAGCTGTTGATGGTGAAGCGGAGCCTGTTTGTCGAAGATGGATGTAGGCGACCCGAAATACTCGATGGGAGGACGGAAGTCGTCGTTGAAGCTGACAGGAAACAGAGCGTCCGCAAGTGTCCTACTTTGTTCCACGGTTCCGGAAGCTTGGCGAGGCTGTCGGCGCTCTGGCTCTGGACCTGACTCGGGCGCCGCTTTAGAGAGGTTTAGTCGCTCACGCGAGGCCACGGGATCGACATTCTCCAACTCGTGCGCAAAGTATGGCTCCTCGTTTGCCCTGCTATTTCCTCGGGGACGTGTAGTAGCGCGAGGTGGGGTGACATCAGGCTCGACTTCGTCGCCGTCAGAGTCGACGGTGATGTAGCGATCTTTAGGTGTCTTGACCGTTGCCCTACCCTTGCGCGCCATGATGTCTAGTCGGAGCCGAGGTCTCTGGTTGGTTGGGCGTTGGTGGACACTGGAGGCGTTTAGCGGCAAGGCCAGGCGATGGCGGGACAGACTTGTTTGATAACTTTCGGCGGGCAGTGCGGGCGACAGGTCACCTTCATTTTGTTGCCGTACGTCACTGGTTTGCTATTCAAATCTCTTAACGCGCAGGGACGCAACTTCCCTCCCGTCAATCAACAGGTGCACCAGCCCGTCGCGCCTTCTGCAACTACACCCGCTGCCCGCGTGCCTCGCATAACCCAGCTTGTCCCGCACTGCGTCGATACATCATGGGTGCCCCGACCGACGAAGCCACCAAGCTCAAGGACCAGGGCAACAATGCCTTCAGGAACCAGGAATGGGACAATGCCCTTGAGTTCTACACCAAAGCGATAGAGGCCTACAACGCAGAGCCCTCGTTCTACACCAACCGCGCACAAGTACACAGCCCACCTGCGCCTCCCGAGCATGTACTAATCTATCCTCCAGACATACATCAAGCTCGAACAGTATGGATACGCTATACAAGACGCCGACACGGCGATTGAATTGGATCCAAACAACGTCAAGGTACTACTGTCGCAAACTCACATCGTCATCATGACGCTCATCGCAGCACCAGGCATACTACCGTCGCGCCTCAGCGAATACCGCCATCCTCAAGCACCGTGAAGCGCTCCGCGACTGGAAGCTTGTCGTCAAGAAAGCCCCCAACGATGCCAACGCAAAGCTGCGCATGGCCGAGTGCGACAAGGTCGTCAAGCGAGACGCCTTCCTCAAAGCCATCGAGGTCGAAGATGCGCCGTCGGCAGCAGAGGGCCTAGACTTGGAACACATGGCGGTAGACCCCTCATACGATGGCGCAAAGCTAGGCGACAAGATGACATTGGAGTTTGTCGAAGACATGATTGAGCGATTCAAGAACGGAAAGAGGCTGGCCAAGAAGTACGTCTACCAGATCATCATCGCAGTCATGGACATTGTCAAGAAGGAGCCCACCATGGTCGAGCACGATGTTGCAGATGGGAAGGAGATCACTGTCTGTGGTGATACTCACGGTAGGTCCCAGGCAGAAGGAGTGGATATATTGCGTACTGACAAAGCTAGGCCAATTCTTCGATCTCATGAACATTTTCAATCTCGCTGGCAAGCCCTCCGAAAAGAACGCGTTCCTCTTCAACGGCGACTTCGTCGACCGAGGCTCTTGGTCCACCGAGATCGCCCTGCTGCTTTACGCCTACAAATGGCTATACCCTGATAGCTTCTTCCTGAACCGCGGAAACCACGAGACGGACGACATGAACAGGATGTACGGTTTCGAGGGTGAATGCAGGGCGAAATACACCGAGCGGGTCTTTAAGCTGTTCTCGGAGTCCTTCTCCGCGCTTCCTCTCGCCACCCTCATCGGCAAGAAGTACTTTGTGCTTCACGGCGGCCTCTTCTCAGACGACAAGGTCACGTTAGACGACGTGCGAAAACTCGACCGATTCAAGCAGCGTCAACCGGGACAGTCTGGGCTCATGATGGAAATGCTTTGGACAGACCCGCAGACGAACCCAGGCCGTGGACCCAGCAAGCGCGGCGTCGGTCTGCAATTCGGACCCGACATCACCAAGCGCTTCTGCGAGAACAACGGTCTTGAGGCTATCATTCGGTCGCACGAGGTACGCATGGAGGGTTACGAAGTCGAGCACGACGGACGTTGTATCACTGTCTTCTCGGCACCCAACTACTGTGACAGCACCCACAACAAGGGCGCGTTCATCAAGATCGGCCCAGAGTACAAGCTCAAATTCACCCAGTTCGACGCTGTTGCGCATCCGAACATCAAGCCCATGGCATACGCGTCAAGCGGCATGGCCGGCATGATCTAATGAAATTGAAGTAAGTTGGTTCAGTCATTGTTCGCAGCGATGCATACTTGGGTGTTCTTCGGCGCATCAGCATACTCGGAATTGGTTGGGGCTGTGTTTGATCTTTCAGGATTGATTGGGAAGGAGCGCTGCTATACGAATGTACTATAGAGCCTGGATGAAGGCACAATTCCGACGTCGATGTACACGAAAAGCATCGAGCAGAAATATAAGAGCAGAACATCACCTCCTGCGCGTCTGACACGCTATCTCGGGTAGCGCGTGGTAGATGCGTTGCCCCTCACACGCGGCCCCACGTGTTGCATCCCAATGCGGCTAAGTCTGTTGACAAACATGGGTCGTCCTCGCCTTCCATCTCATCGCGTCCCGCCAACCTGCTAACAAAGCGCCCTTTGCGCCTGATCTCGCCGCAGATCTACGACACCGGCACCCTGTCGCATCCTTAATTGTTTCTACATCAGCAATGTGAAGACCAATCCACTTGCGCAATCACCATGTCGCCGTATCAACAAATCTTCTCGACCAACGCCGTCCTAAGCGTCTGGCGCAATCTTCGCAATACCAAAGATAACAACGATCTTCTCCTCGCATTTCAGTACCACCAAGACGATGCTCGCGGCCAGAAGGGCAAGAAGTATGCCAAGGGCGGCGTTGTGGAGAGCTCACAAGAGGTTGCAGATGGAAAAGCGATCGACGTTGGTGGCAAGAGCATCGGGTTCGTTGTGCCATGGCGGGCCATGCAGGCCCAGAGACGCGAACTGAAGGAAAAGGAAAAGGAGCTCGCTGAAGCACTAGTGGCATTGGCTGGAGAGGTTGCGTTCACGGGTATGTATCCGGGATGGTGTTTGGAGCATGATAGGCTATGTGCATATACTGACTGTTCACGATAGATCTCTCTTCCACTTTGCAGTCTTCGCTCACGCAAAACCCCCTCATTCAGATCCGCCACCTTGCCGCTGGTCTGTCTCGTCAGATGTCGAAGATCGAGATACAAATGGCCGACAACGCTCCTTTCGCAAATGGAAAGAATCTATACACCGGCGGAGAGATAGCGCAAAGGTTCCTCCCGCCGATACAAACACTCTTCCAACAGCGGCCTGTACCCCAGCGCATGATCTTTGAACTGCTCATGGAGCTGAAAGACCTTGTCTACATGGGCATGGCAGGATGTGAGAAAGAAGTCCTGGAATGGGAGGTAGATGGAGCTGCGATCGGAGCGTTAGAGGAGCTGGACGATGCGATGGTCAGAGCAGTCACACCAACAGTACCAGCCATCGAACCGGAGCAACGCAAAGAGGTTGAGACTGGGCCCAGGCGTATACTAAGGCGCAAAGCTTCGAGCCTCATCTCTAACTCCGTTGTAGTACAACAGCCAGTCTCATTCCTCCTTGCAGCGCCGGAAGAACTCCTTTACAGTCTCGAATCGCTCGAAACAACAGCTCTCGCGCTTACACACCTCCCACTCCCTATACCCGATCTCTGCGCACACGCTGTTATAACACTCCGTCGTTTGACGCCTCGACAAACTCTCACAGACTTCTCACAGCAGAAGAAGCGAAGGAATGGCCGGTGTGCAGAGTTCGCGCGTTGCATGAGGTGGGCTGGTACGCAGTGGAGGCAGAACGGTGGTTGCAGGAGAGGTTGCTTGAACGAAGATGAAGATCCTGAAAACCTTCCTAGCTGGCATAGGAGTAGTCGCTGGTTCGACGAGAAGGGTAGTGGGACATTTATGGTCGGTGGAGGAAGGGCGTCACCGAAAGATGA